CCCCGCATGTGCATGACTCCTTTTAATTCCAGTCCTTGCTTTTTCAATACCTCCTCTGGGTCTTTCCCCCGACCACCCTGATTAAAGTTCATCACCTTTTTCATTATGTCCTCATATCCGAACCATCTTATTTATTGAGCTGTCAGTCTCTCTCACAATCCGTCAGCTCATCGAGGGTGGAGACTCTCAATATCACTATTTGTTGACTGACTTCAGAGCCCTCTCCATCCCACAGGGCTCCGCCCCTCAACTACTATGGCCCCTCCTCCAACTCCACAGCCTCTTCCCCTTACCTATTCTCTTCACCCATCTATTCCATAAACCCTCACCTTTCCATTTTTCAGTATTTTGCCCCAATATAGGTCCCTCTGGCCCGGCACCCTAACACCCTGCCCCTGCATCTCCAGGTTCAGTTCCCATTTCCACCAGCCCTCTGCCCTCTGCCTTCAAACCTCGCCCCGCCGGTAACGCCCCAAATCGCAGGCCCCGCCCCCGCCCTAGGATACTTGGGTTGGGGTGGGGGTGGGGATGGGGAGGACGGGCAGACCGACCACCGGTCTCACCTTGACTCGGACCCGTACCACCTCCCGCTCCTCCTCCTCAGCCGGCGCCGCCTGTACTCCCCCGCCAGGCGAAGGCGCTCCGGAGCCGGCCAAGTCCGAAGACCCCGAGGCCGCTGCCATCCCGCTGCCGCTAGCTCAGGATGACAGCTGACTGTTGCCTCCTAGCCCATACACAGCGTGCACCCCACAGTGCGGGTGCCCACGACCCCACCTTGCGCCCATACGCAGGCGCAGACTATGCCGCACGACCCAACCCCCACCGCCCCTCCCACCTGGCCCAGGGTGGTGGTATGAGCATGCGTGTAGGAGTGCTCTTGCAAATGGCCCCGCCCCCCAAAGCCGGGACTTGACCTCACATCGGTTAAAATGCAGGTACCTGGAAAGGCTTCGCCTCCCCTCCCCTCCCCTCCCTTCCTCTTGAAGTTTGGTTTTCTTTGGCACTTTACCTTAGGATTCATCTAGTTGTGTGATGACCTATATTAGGACTAGAGAAGTGGGCGGGTAAAGGAGGCTGTTGCGCGATGACGTCAAGGCTGCAGACCCCGCCCGCAGTCTCCGTGCGCCTCTGCTGACAGATGATGTCATTTATTTAAATACCTGTGGTCCTTCCTCAAATGAGTGCTGTGCAGGAAAAAAATAAATGCTTTTCCCAGAGGATTTTTAAAAAAAGTAGTGTCAATGACTATTTGGATTATCCTATGTTTATGAAATATTAGAAAAGGGAAATGCTAAGGAAAAAAATGTATTCTTAGTTACTGTGGGCAAGAGGAAGGGTGTGATGGAATACCTGTTTTAGTTTCTAGGGTCCCTTTAAAAAGAGACCTTGTTGTTCTCTTGGGAGGAAATAACAATTTTGAGGTCAAAGATTTTATCAACTTTTTAACAAAATTCATATGGACATCTTCCCAAATCATTGAAGGTTTGCAACAAGTTTGCAAGAATGCTGCCCCCACACGTTTTTAGAGGGACCAAATGTTTTAAAGGAAGTTGGTAAGACCTCAAATATGCACCAAGACAGAGAAGACCACCAACCTCAATGAATGGAAAAACTGTGACTAAAATTCACAAACTGGTGGGAGGTTTTACCATTGATGCAATAGCTCCTGAAGTTAGGATTTCACATGGTTTGGCATTTTTAATTTTAAGTGAGCATCTTGCCCTCAGCATGCTTTCAGCTTGATAGGTACCAAAAGTGTTGCATGAAAACCAGCTAGCGCAAAGAGTTGATCCTTCCATCAGTATTCTAAGCAACATTGAAGCGAATGAAAGATAATTTGTGGAACCAATTGTATGCTGGGAAGAGTCTTAGATTTACCAATATGATCCAGAGGGCAAAGTCCAATCAAAACAGTAGCTTTTGAGGGGATCTGTTGGGTCAATTGACTTCAAGACACAGAAGCAGACTCAGCAGGTCATAGTGACTGTTAGTTGGGGTAATCTCGATCGATTTTCTGAAAGGACAATTATGGGGGCTTATTAGGAAGAAAAATGGAAGCTGCTTTGTAAGAAAAAGACCAAGAAAGTTACACTGAGATTCCCACCTGCCCTTTTCACAACAATGCACCTGCTTCGTTCTTTCATGGCAGCAAGAGCTATCCGACAGGAGCTCACCCTTCAGCCCTAACCTTGCCCTTTCAGATATCTTTTTGGTCCCCAAACTTGAGCATTGCAAAGGAACATGATGGGAGGCCCAGGAGGATGCCACGACTACCATTTTCATGTGGTATAAATCACAGTGAATTCTTTGGGGGGGAGAGTTGGAGAAACGGGGGAAGAGTTGGAGAAATGGCAATACCACCTTTAGAAGCATTGTATCAGAACTTAAAATTCTGAGTGCTAGGTTTGCAGAGGGCTATGGTTTACAGTGAAAGCCCTAAATTCATTTCTGAGTCTCTACAAAGATTCAGCCTCCACTGAATTCTTTCTGACCATTAACTAGCTTTGTGAATACCTTTGTCCTCAGGCAGAGAATGTTAGAAAGTAGACAGCTACAGTGCCCTTAGCCAGTGCGGGGAGGAGCGACCTCGCCCATAGGGACTTGCCTGGGTGTGCCTTTAATGGAATTTGGGATACTCAGAGTCGGCTTGATCATGAGTCATATCCTAACTGCTGTGGTTGGAGGGCCCTAGGTTTCTATCTAGAATGCTATCCCAATCATGGTCCCTTCTGTAGTCCCACCTGCAACTGTGATGGTTGCTTTTGTGATGGTTTCCCTCATACTCCATGTATTATTTAAGTGGCCCTGTTTCCATAAGTTCTTGGAAGTTATTATAGTCTTGAAGGAGCCCTGGTGGCCTAGTGGTTATGTGTTGGGCTGAGATTCAAAAGGTCAGCAGTTCAAAACCACCAGTCGGGAGAAATACTGGACTTTCGATTCCTGTAAATAGTTCCAGTCTCGGTAACTCAGGCAATTCTACCTGTACTATACAGTCGCTGAGTCAGCATCAACTGGAGGGCAATGATCATGGCCTTGTGCTGATGGTCTCCCTCAGGTGGATGATGTGTCTTTGTCTTGTTTTTGTCCTGTTTAAAACTTAATATGTCTAATAAATTAATTTTATTCAAATAAATTATATTTGCATTTGGGGTCTCTTTTCTCCCTTACAATAGTATATATACACCTAGATGGAGGATATGTCAGAAACAGTAGCTGCTGTGTGGAGTTTATGTCAATAAAACTTTTTAAAAATCAATAGCTTCACATTTTGATGGTTTTTGTTTAATAAAAGTTTCTATGATTTTTTTAAGTTTCTATGATTTTTGTAGTAATATTTCTTGGTTTACCCTTGTAATTTAATGTCAGGGGATTTTTTACACCCAATGTCACTGAATTTTAAAGTGCCAAAATTTTGTCATTAATTTACCAAAATTAAAAATAGTACACACATACACACATTTTTAGTATATACTATTTTCCAGTAGTGAAGAATAATAGTGCTGCATATTTATGTTTTGTGATTTCTGTATACATGTTCAGAATATTCATTAAATAATTTATCAAAAGATCAATGCTTATGTAATTTGGAGGTCCTAGTATTTTCATGTTTGCCTTCATGTCATTTAATCCTCATAATGCATTGATTGAAGTAGGCCCTGTTATCAAACGCTATGTATCTACTGAATATAAATTGAATAAATGAACATATCTTAGACTTTTTTGAGAAACTTCATGCTGAAAATTACAAAAAAGCATTCTCCCCACGTCACTATACAACTTATGCGGCTTGGGCTTGGAAAAAATATTGACTGCTCTTACAAATGCCATTTTTAACAAAGAAGTCTTGTAAAATGCCTGGGTTTTAATTAGTATTGTATTGCTGTGCGAACGCTACTCTTAAAGTTAAGCTTTTAATAAAGTCTGGCATTCAATTTTTATATATTTTAAAATAAGATATTGCCTTGATATTAATATTCCATTAGCTATCTCTATTTTCTGAGAGTTATGATAGTGTATAATTTTTTTTGAAATCCCAAAGAGGGTTAGTTATTGGCATACCTTGTTTTGTGTCCATAGAATAAAAACACCTATGGCACTGCTGGGTTTTCTGATGGAAACAAGGAGTCTGAGAATCTGCTGCTTATTTAAATTTAGGGTGGAATGAGCAAGCCATTATCCTAGAGCTTGAAATTTAACCTGAAGGTATAGCGGCACAGGTTTTAGACAAGGATATGACATGGTCAGATATCGCGCTTAATTATGGAGAGAGCCTTGGATGGAAAGGCACTCGAAGCAAGGAGATCAAAAACAAGGTCATGGCCATAGTCCTGAGTCAAATCTACATGGTTTGTTTGGGCGGAAGACCGGTCGATCCCCTGAATTCACTTACACGGATGCCAATACGAGCAAAGCTATCAAGAATATGCTGATGGAGGATTTGGAGAATCCCAAAAAGTATATCCCTGGAACAAAAATGATCTTAGCCAGCATTAAGAAGAAAGGAGAAAGGGCAGACTTGATAGCTTATCAAAATAAAGCTACTAATGAGTAATAGTTGTATACTGCCATATTGATTATAAAATAGGAATGTCTTGTGGCTTTTTTGAAAACACACACCATATTTAAATTGATCTCATACACCAGAAATAAGATAATGAATGACTGATAACAATATTTTGTTTGGACAGTCTTACATTAAAGCTTGGCTGTGGTTAAATGAGTCTGATCAAATTTTTAAATTTTTGATAGAAATTTCTGTGCAGCAAGTGTTATCACTGTTTTTCCCTAAGGTGTGATTGGACTTTGGGGCTAGGTTGGATCGGTAATGTGGAATTCGTCACAAAGATGGTGATTGCCATCTTAAACCTATAGATCGATTTTATATTTAGCCATATATCTGATTATCTGAATATATTTGAAAAGTGGGAAGTCTCCACACTGCCTCATGGAACAGAGCAAGACGCATCTATTGCAATTTGTATTCATGAGCCTGTTTAAATGCAAGGGTTAAAGATAAGGTAGCAAAGGTCACTTGATCCTTTTGCTTTTAAATGTGTTAATCTAATTAAAATTTCCAGTCTAAAATAGTGTCTTTTCATTAACAAAAAGCATTGCCATGCGATTTGTGTATGATATCAAATTAAAGAATATTTAACACTTAAAAAAAAGCCCTATGAGGTAGATACTATTTTGTTTTCTGGAGGTAGATACTATTATTATTAGCATTTTACGGATGAACGCACAGAAGGCTGGGGAGTGTAAAAAATATGCTTAAGGTCCTAGGAGTAATAAACAGCACAGAGACAGAGAGCAGCCCATGCAATGGATGGAAGGTGGGGTTGTGCTAGTCGTATCTAAGGAGGCAGAGGCAATGATGGAGTGGTTGATGGGCTATGAGGTGAGAAAGTAATTGGGATGAGATCATGCAGAGCCTTGGCATTACAGTGAGCACTTCTCCAAAGGTACACTATAAGCCCAGGGAGAACAAGGATTTGAACGGAAGCCATGCCTCGACTGGAGCCAGTCCTCATTCTTTGTCAGTTCCTCAAAGTTCCTTGAGTATCTAATTGTTTTATGACTGAAGGTCTGTAAGGTAAATCCTAGAAGTATGGGTGAGTGATGTGATGGGGTCTGTGGGGTGGAATATAGTGAATTATTTATATAGCTCTTCTAGTCATAGCCTTTATTCTTCCCACCTTCATTTTCCTGATGGGTCTGAATAAAGAGGGGAGGAAAGATACTGATTGGATTATGCATCAGTGGTTGCTAACAGGGTTGTAAGTGCCATCTTGCTGGGTATAAAATAGGCCATCACGGAAAGGGTGTGGGGTGTGGGGTGAATCTTACTCCCAGCAAGTGAAAGCTAGGAGGGGAGCTCATCCTTTGGACCTCGATATCCCTGCACATGGAACCTCCTTGATCTGAGAGACAGTTTTAATATCAGAGGAATGGCAGCAGCAGCAGCAGCAGCAGAACCAGAATGCAGAGCATGAGACAGAGCGGTGGAGTTCCCAGCCCACAGAGCAAGTAAAGCTGAGTGCTTTTGAGCAAGAGGCTGGCTTGGGGAACAGGGTGGCTCTGGGAACTTCATTGGAAAAGCTGGATGCCTTTGGCTTGGGGTTTATGACAGTGGCGTGCCCTTTAGCTCTAAAGGCCTTTGTAACACTCCTAAGCAGGGCAAAGGCCAGGCCAGAAGGCTGAGGGGCCAGAGAAGCCTGCTTGTGGGTATGGCAGGGAAGAAACTCTTCTGACTGAACAACTGTATCCTGAGCATTTCTCACCTGTTAACTTCCCTAATAGACACCATACTCACAAGCAATGTCTATGAATTCTGTGTAGCTATTTCAATGAATTCTCAAACCCAGCTGAGGTGAAGAATACATAGAAATTGGCCTTGAATGTTGCTGAGGTGGAGTTTGATTTTTCCCCCCTCCCCTTTGCGTAGCTGGAGGTCAGGCGCCACCCTCCATGTCAACATTTTTTATAGGGAGAGGATGAGTGATGAAGGCGCATAGGGTGAATGATGAGGGGTTTGTAGGATAAGTGATGGTAAGGATTTCTGGATATATGATGGAGCGTCTATCAGTGATGGGGCTTTGTGGGGTAAATGATGGAGCTTGTGGGATAAGTAATCTAGGGGGTTATAGAATTCTGTGGGGTACTAGGGGCTCTGCAGGATGACTGATTGGGGCACTACAAGGTGACCAAAGACCTGAGGGTTGAGTGATAGGTCGTCTTTAGGGCGAGCATGAGAGGGACTGTGGTGTTAATGATGGGATGTCTGTGGCTAATGTACTGAGTAATTGGTATTGGGGAGTGGGCTGTGTGAGGGGGTCTGTGTGGTGAATGATGGGGTACATATGCTACGGTAAGGGAAATCCACAGGGTGAGTCTGTAGGGTAATAAAAGGTGTGTGGAGCGAATGATGGGCTATCCGTGTTGAATTATGGGAGTGTGTAAGATGTGTGATGCAGGGTCTATGGGGTGAGTGGTTGGGATCTGTGGCGTGAATGACATGGGACTGTTGAGTTTGTATTGTGGTGATCTGTGGGGTTAGCATGAATGATGGGGTTTTGAGGGGATGAGTGAACTGGGCTACAGAATGTGATGGGGGTCTGTGGGTTGAGCGAATGATGGATTGTGAGGTGAGAGAAGGGAATCTCTGGAGGGGCAGAAGTCAGTGGAATGAGTGCTAGATCTGTGGTCTAAGTGACGAGGGGGTCGCTGTGGTACGAGATGAGGGCTGTGGAGTGATAGGGTCTGTGGCATGGTTGCTGAGGGATTGTCGGGGGGTGGGGTGGGGGTGACAGGCTGGCAGGTGATAGAGGTCTATGAGGTAAATGATGGAGTCATAGGGTATGTGACAGAGGGCTACAGGATCAATGAGGGTGGGATTCTTTAGGGTGATTGTTAAGAGGGCCTGTAGGGTGAGTGATGGGGGTGTTTGTGGAGTTATCTCAGGCCTGCTAAGAGTGAGGAGGTATCTGAGTACCAGGATTGTAGGGTGTATAATGAGGGCTCTGTAAAATTATGTATGGCGGGGTGTGTGTCTGTGTGGTGATCCTGATCTAAGATGATTTAGGAGGTAGGAGTGGGAATCTGGGGCTGAGAATGTCTGTACGATGAATGAGGTGGGGAGGCCTATCGGGTGAGTTAGGGCATGTTTGAGAATGCTGGGGTTTGTGGGTTCTGTAAGGTGACTGATGGAAAGTTTGTAGGGTAAATGATGGGAGTTTGGGGAGGAATTGGAAATATATGGGGTTAATGATGGGATCTGCGGGGGGCGAGTGGTCTAAGGAGTCAGTAAAGTAAGTCTTGGGGTTTTCAAGGCGAGCTATGGGTTAGCGATTGGGGATCGATAGGGTGGGTGGTGGGTCTGTGCAGTGAATGATGGGAAGGCTGGAGGTGACTGATAGGAAAGTCTATAGTATGAGTGATAGAGATCTGTAGGGTGGATTATATAGTTATTTGGGGGCAGTGGTGAGGTATCTGAGGGGGTAATTAGGGAGCTATAATGTGTCATGGAAGGTCTGAGTATTTGGGAATGAGTGTGGGGCTCATAATAGGGTTTGCTAGGTGAGTGAAAGGTCTTGTGGGGTCATCGGTAAGAGGTCTATGAGATGACAATGGGCTGAAAGAATGAATGGTAGACCGTGGAATAAAGTGAAAGGAATTGAAGGGTCAGTAATGGGGCATCTCTGGGGTTAGTAATGAAAGATTTCTCAGTGTTAGAGTCAAGATCTTTTATTTCCTGATTAAAAAAAAATTGCCCCCTAGGTCTTCTTCCCCGCCCCCTCCCCCAGGTCTTCTTGTGCCTTTGTTCCAACAGCTCTTGGCAGTAGCTCCACGTCGCTCCTTTCTTTCTTTCCACTCGCTGGCCCTTTTTGTGCCCACCCCTCAGCCGGAGTTTGGCAAGTCTGTTAGCTTTGCCCCTCTAACCGCTGGGAGCAGGAGTTGACTCTTCTGGCAAGTGATGAGTTCTCCATCAGCCAGTGTTCAAAGCCCAGCCCAGCACTCACTAGTTCAGCTTGCTCTGGATTTTTGCGGTCTTGGCATCCAGTGTGCTCTGGGCATAAGTGAGATGCTTCACAGAATCAAGCACGAGGACTCCCGGCAACACCAGCCACAAGGCATTCAAGAAAACAAAGTAAAACCAGAAGTAGAGTGGGTGACCCAGCTCTCCATGCTGGAACCCTTCGCGGTGCTCTGACAGGAAATACAGTGCATCCCCGTATATCTGGCCTGTGGGAAGTAGAAGGATAAGGAGAATCCCTGTGAGGAAGAGGAAGTTCGTCCAAGTGATTGATTCCAAGGCATTGTCCCAAGTCATCATTCAAAGTCTCAGGATTCCTGAACTCAGAGAGCTAAGAATTCTGACAACATAGAGCTGAACATTTCAGGGACTGGAGATGGTGCGGATTCTAGAAGTTGGAGAGCTAAAAATTCCTGAATGCAAGCGAGCTCAGATCTCCACAACTTAAGGGAGCTCCATAGAATTCAAAATTTAAGACAGCCCACGAATACAAGGGAGCTAATTTAAGAAATCCAGAGGCCTGTGTCTCAGGGGAAGCCCACTGCCATTGACTTGGTTCTAACTCACAGTGATCCTACAGGACAGAGTAGAACTGCCCCTTAGGGTTTATGAGACTTGAGCAGATAGCCTCACCTTTTTTCTGTGGCACAGCTGGTGGGTTCGAACTGCTGACCTTGTAGTTAGCAGCTCAATGTATAACCCACTATGCCACCAGGGCTCCTTCACAGATGAAATTACCTCAGAATCTGTATCCTGAGGACCGGAGGCTCCCCACCACCCTGGGGCCATGTCACTCTCACAGGAGATGGTATGAAGCAGGAGGAACAATGAAGCCTCCTTACTACAGAGAGCAGGGTCCGAGAAGGGCATGGGGGCTCCAGAACCTCAAGGGGTTTGTGATTCAATCCAACTCACCCCTGCATGGGCACAATGAGACCCCACCCACAGGGATGCCCCCCTTATCTGTGGATCCCCCATCAACCTCTTTTCCTCACCCACAGAAATCACAAGCTGGAGGACAAAGCGGATGGGTTGCTGGCGGAGAAAGGCAATCACCACCCACAGGCTGAGTGGTCCCCACGTCCATGCTGTGACAGTTTCCATGCACACTATGAAGGTGTCGTCCCTGGAGGAGAAAGGATGGGGGATGCCTGGCACCGGTGCAATCTCCCCACAGGGTGCCCCCTTAATGCTCCCTGTTTTGCCACCACCCCAACCAATACTAGGTTTCCTTGACATGGGCAAACACTTACAGAAGGTACCGACTGTCCCCTTTGGCATACTCTTTCCCTGAAGAAAACAAGAGTGATACATGAACAATAAAGGCTGGGAAATCAGCTCATATGGGTTACAGCACGGGGTGGGCGGTGTTATAAGAAAACAGGCTTTGGAACCATTACGTGCCTCCATTTCCTAATCTGGGAAATGGAATAGGTGTTTGAATTCTGTAAACTAAGAGGTGTCCCCGGCTTACCACGTATCCTGCGTTACAAAAACAGTCCTTATGACCTTCTGGTCTCTAAAAATAGTTTATCATTAGGATAATTTGCAGATGTTATCATTCTCAGATGTTTAATGTTATGATTTATACAGTTACTGAAAATAAAAGGCAATAATAATGAAAAAGAAGTATCCATTCATGTCAGAACCAACTTATGACAGCTGTTGGACGGGAACCCCCGTCCTAAGTCAGGGACTCCCTGAACATATGAAACAAGATAATGCAAGTAAGCCTTACACAGGACAGTGTTACTGTGGTTGTCTGGTATAAACAATTGGTCCAACAGAATAAATGGATGAAGGGTTGGTGGGTGAGTATGAACATCCAAGCCAATCCTTGCCCAAGTCCCCCTCCTCCCCCATGTCCCCAGAGCCCAAGAAAGAATTTAGGACTCACAGAGTTGGGATAAGAAGGCTTGGTCTCCAAGGAGGTCCTTATGGTAGAGGGTGAACCAGCCCTCAATCACCATGTGAATGAACCCGCACACTGCAAACCAGCACAGGGACAGCCGCCTCCAAGTCCCCAGTGGGATGACTGCAGCTCGACTGGACAACAGCCATGTGGTCACGACTAAGACCCCAGATGCTGAGAACAGGCCAGCCAGGAGATGCCAAGTAGGACGGTCATTGGGCACAAAGTTGTCTAGCCTTAGGTGCCGAGGCCAGTACGGGTGCATGGGGCTGACAGTGGTCATGGCTGTGTGCAGTTAAATAGAGAGAGGAGAAACAGGAACAGAAGAACCTGGACAACGAGAATGCCCAGAATGAGCGAGTAACATCAAATTCCAATAGTTCATTAAGACATGTAAACAGACTAAATTTACCAGTTAAAATGCAGACAATAAACCTACTTTAAAAATAACGTTTTAAGAACAAGGATTCCTGGTGGTGCTATGGGCTAAGCATTGGGTGGTTAACCTTAAGGTAAGTGGCTCAAACCCACCAGCCTCTCAGTAGAAGAAAGATGAGGTTGTCTACTCCCCTAAAATTGTAGTCTTGGAAACCTTAAGGGGGGCAGTTCTACTCTGTCCTATAGCAGCAGTATGCATCAGAATTGCCTGGATGGTAGTGGGTTTTTATAAAGAAACCGGACCTGGTTCCCATTCTTACAGTTTAGTAAAGGAGACAAGGCGTTATTTCAACACTCGGGGATGACAGTGGAAGTGGCATAGGAAACAGGTCTGGCTAAGGGTCAAAGTCTGTTATGCTGAGGGACACAAAGGAACCAGGCCAGATCTTGCCTTCAGGGTTGTCTAGAGAGGCAGACACAAAACCCTGGTCCGAATCTCAGGGCGGGGTTCCTACTTTAACCCTGAAAAGTCCAACGGGGGGGACAGACGGATGAGAGACCAGTAATTACAGCGTGCTTAAAAAGGCAGGCCACCCTTGAGACAGCGCACAACGCTGATAACGTGCAAGGAGAGAGGGAGGTGGAAGGGACTAAAAAAGGGGAAAACCCGGTTTCCTACTGGATTCCGACTCACAAAGACCCTATCTAAGGTTTCCAAGGCTACAAATCTTTATGGGAGTAGATAGCCTCGTCTTTCTTCTGCAGAGTGGTTGGTAAGTTTGAACAGCTGACCTTGGGCCGGTGCCGCTAGGTCAAAGGCAGAGACCACCAACAAACCAGACCCTAAAGTCCAGCAGTCCAATGAGAAGGCGGGTCTTCTGTGGTCCCAATAACCGCGCGGTAGCCGGAGAGGGGGTGCGGGGTGGCGAGGGGGGGCCCTCGCGCAGGCGCACCTTGAGCCAGCCTCCAGGCTGTTGAGAACTAAGGGTTACAGTGGATGGAGGGCCAGGCAAAGGGGTACTCACCTGGAAGCGTGGTTCGGGGATGCTTCTCCCACGGGCGCCTGGATCTATCTAGGTTGGCTTGCAGGCTCTGAATATTCTTAGATCAGGCCCATCCCCTCACGGCCCCCTCACACAGCGGGCCAATGGGAAGGCGGCCAATGCCACTCTCAACCAATAAAAGTCCTCTATGTGCCGCCGGCTCCGCCCTAACGCGTGGTGCCATTTTCGCTGTTGGCTGCGCCCAAGTCAGGAGTGAGGCGGAGGCAGGGAGGGGTTCAGGCGGGGTTGGGCCCAATCGGTACGTGTGGGGGGCAGGGGAGAGGCGGGGGCCTGGTTTCCTTGAGCTCCAAGCCATTCAGCGTGAAATCTGGGCTCGATATTCCCCACCCCACCGGAATCATTAGCAAGAGCATCTTCCTCCTCTGGTGTGAATCCAGACTGCCTTGTGTCTCCTGCCCATTTTCTAAGCAGATGCACTCACGCCAGTCCGCCAGCCCAAATGGGAAAGGAATTGAAACACTATCAGCAGATCAAAAGACCACATCCTGTACATGCCCCCCCCCCAGCCGCCGCTCGGGTCTTAAATACTACAGCTCTCAGAAATCCCCAGTCCCAATACCTGCAACTAGCCTCATCTCGTCCTATTTCAAGTCTGAAGAACCACTCAGAACCTAGCTCCCACAGTCCTGTCTAATTGGCAAGGAAACCTTTGGCGTCCCTCCCAGGTGTCTCATCCAATTAGAACCCAGAGCTCTTATTCTTAACAGCCAGTAAGCACCAACCCTTCATTTATCTTATTTTCACTCCTTTGTCCCAGTGAAAGCAGCCAATCAGATGCAGATCCCTCCATTTGCAGCCAATTAATAGCAGCCCTTTCCCTAACCTAACTAAATAAATTGTCCCCACCAAGAAAAATCGATCAGGACCAGGACTCTACTATCCTCAGGTTTATCATCCAATCACGGGCCAATTCTAAATCATAAATTAACCACACATCAATCACAACCTCCTCTTTCTTAATGGTTTTCTGCTTTCAAACTTTTATCTGTTGGAACCCCTTCCGATTCAGCTCTGTTAGTGAAGAAAGAGCCTATTGTATCTTTCCTACTTTTATTTGACAATAACAAACTGTATATTAAAAGGGGGAAAGCGTGTTGGCCCTGGATTTCCCCCCTCTCGGTATCCCCAAGAATCCCCCACCCCTAGACCCCATCAGGGACTTCCCTCCCCCTGCCTTGTGATGGGGTGAGGATCTTGAGGCATGGAAATGGAGTGTGTGTGTGTGTGTGTGTGTGTGTGTGTCTGGTGTGTGGCATGGAGGAGAGTTGGGAGTCAAGGATGGAGAGAGGAAAGGGGTAGACAGAGGGTCTTCCCTCATTCCCCATCATAACTGGCACCCTAAGGAGGAGTCTTGAGGGCCCACAGTGTGCCTTAGCCTATGAGACGGTAGAAGATCCAGCATCCAAAAGTGACCCAGTGACTGGCCCAGCTGAGCTCTGACCACTTGTGGACAGTGTATGCCATGCCGTAGCCCTGTGGGAGAGAGAGGTGATGGTCCCACTCAGAGGAGTGTCTCAGGAGAACTCATCATTTGCATACATCTAAGACTACACAATAACCCTAAATAACCCGAGGTGAGGTCCCATAGAAGGGTCCCGCATGTAGGTCTGAGGTTACTTGCTACCTCGTCATTTGCACTAGGAAAAGACTGGAAACTCTCAGTATCCACCAATAAGGGTCAAATGAAATCAACAATGTCACCTCCTTCCAGTAGAAAAAACGAACAATTAGAAGAATGATGATGGGCACTCTACGTGCTGAGGAAGACTTGCAAGGTGTATGTTCAAAGGCAAAATGTTGAATAATGCCACGTTTAGGGTAAAGCCCAGGGGGAGGGAATTAAAACTCATTTCTATATTTGCTTGGTATGCTTACAATTTGGGAGGATATTTTTATAAAATGAATAAAAGTGGTTGCCTGTGATGTGGCAGGGGGCAGAACTGGGAAGAAAAGATAAGAAGTATGAACAAGACATTTCCCTGAATATTGTTTAGTCTTTGAACCATTTGAAATATTGTCATAAAAATAAAACAAAAACATTACCCAGATTTGGCAGACTCGACCTGAATTTACAAAATTATTTTCTATCATAAAATGATAAAAATAATTTTTCTTTAATTACAAATTTTAAGCTAAAAAATATGTAAAAACTGAATTTTGCCAGAGCCACAGGAATAAAAGTGATTTTCAAACTATTTTAACTTAAAAAGAAATAAAATCTGGAATTTGCATCTTTGACACAAATGAAAATAGTATAAACGTTTTAAGTAGCAAGCTCGAGTTTACACGCTGAGTCAAAAAATTTTTAATTAAAAAAACCAACCAACAAACACCTAGATATTGCAAATCCCACTTAAAGAAAAATAAAATAAAAATTTCATCATTTAAAAAAAGCAAAAATTGGATACTGCACATCATCTCTATTTTAAAAAAAGCACCGTTTTAAATGGGAAAAAAACCCCCATTTTGTACACTTCACCCAACTAAAAGCCCCAAGAGTGTGACTCAACTAGAGGGGCAATGACAAAAGAGGACTGGGGAGGACTGGCTACATACACTAAAGAAATGCACCGTGAGGAGCTCATGCCTTGGTGCCCCACCTTTGTCCTCAGGTAGTGCCATCCCCTGGATACCTCCCCCCAGGGCCCCACCTCACCTGCTCCTCTGTGGTGTCATCCACATCAACATCGAACAGGGAGCCCAGGTAGGCCAGGTGGAAGATGGCCAGGCCCCCAAAGAGCAGGTTTAAGGCTCGCACCCCCAGGCCCTGTGGGGGACAGATGGATAGCCTTGGCAGCTGGACCTACTCACTGCCCCCCACCTCCACCTGGGCAGGGAAGACCAGGGAGACATACAAGGCACAGTGGGTGCAAGGAGGAAGGGTATCCCGGTTACTCCCTGAGGTAAGAAAGAGTTGATTCAGCTCCTCCCGTGGGAGCCCCGAGGGTATCCAAGGATGTGGGTACTGTTAACAATGAGGGTGTACAGGTCAAGGGTGGGGCAAGTATGTCCATTTGCAGGAGATGAGAGTATTCAGGCAGAGGAGGAAGATGGGTGGGGCTTTGAGTCACGAGGGGTTTATGATGATGAACCTGGTTGTCCAGTGGGAGGACAAATAAATATGAGGTTGTCCATAGTGCATATTGCAAAAATGAAAAACAATCCCCCCCCCAATTCCTACCATGACCTACAGTGTCCCAAAGGAGCCAGCCACTAACTGTGTCTGCTCACACTTCCCACCTCTCACCCCCCTGCTCAGGTCACACCGACACCTGGCTGGCTGTTCCTCAAATGTTCCAGGCCTCCTCTCATCTCAGGGCTTTTCCGTGGGTTGGTCTCTGTGCCTGGAGCGGTTCTCTCCTTCGCCCTCTTTCAGTTAAAGAGCTCAAAGTCACTCATCAGGGAGGCCCTATGGAAACTTGCAACCACTTACCTCTGGATACTTCCCGTTCTCCTTCCCTTCTCCATAGCGCTAATCCAGATCTAACAAACTGTCACATGTATTTTTATTGACTGTCACCCCATGAAAATGTTAGCCCTACATAAGCAGGGCTTTGGGCTTGCTTTATTTACTGTCTCCAGCACCTAGAACAGCGCTCCAGGAAGCCAGATACTCTGAGACAGATAGAAGATGGCAGCGGAAGTAATGCATTTTTGAGGGGGCTGTTTTGGGCACGAGGATGGTTGTCCAGGCTGAACCCTCACCAAGCGATGCTGGTGTGAACAGTCTGGCGGGCATCGTTTGGATAAGACGCAGGCACTGAGGATCCGAGCCAGGCGCTTCCGGAGGACTGGAGTAGGTGAGTAGAAATAAGGAAGTCAGGTTAGCCTCAGGGGATGGTGTTCCACCCCCACCCCCACCCTCAACCACCCTGTCTGCCAGACTGGCCCCTGCACTCACCATGTTCCACATAAGTGATAAAGGCCAGAGACAGCAGCACCGCGGCCAGGTGGAAGCTGAAGCCCTGGGGGGACCCAGGGGCAATGAGGTGAATAAGGAGGTCCTGCCCCCTCCCTCAGCTTCCACCCTGATCCCACTCCACCCTGCTCACGTGCAGGAGGGCGCTGGCTGCGTAGGTGACCAGCACGGCGGAGAAGGTCCCCAAGCGGAGGGCATTCTTGAAAACGTCTGGAGGGGGAAGAGGTGCATTAAGATTCCTGGAGATGCTCCAGGCCTTTCTGGAGAGCCGCAGGGCGAGGCTAGAACACCTACAAGCTGGTCAAACCTCCATGTCTTTAAAAGAGTATCAGATGTCACCTGTCCAGGAGAATGCTCACGGTTCCCAAACGCCTCTCACCCTTTCCCCAGTTGAGTCAATGTCAACTCCACCCTTCTAGTGCCTCCGGAGTCAGCCACCTTTGGTTCATTTTCCTCTCACTACTGCTCCTACATCGACTCCTGTCATTCTGCCATCTTCTAATGGATGCCACCACTGTCATCGCTGGCCTGGACGACTGCAGTGGGTTCCTCCCTGCTTTTGCCCCTCAGTCTGCCCTCGGTAGGTTAAATCTTCAAACAGCCCGTGGCCCTCCTCTGCTAGGAATCTCCTCGGGGTTTTCTCTGAGCCTGTATTTCACTCAGAAAAACCCAATAACCCATAAAGCACTTGGTCATCAGCCTCCTTGCCATTCCCAGCCTCCCCCGACACACACCCCTCACCTGTATAGCCTCACCTCCTTCCACACCCCTCACCTGTGTAGCCTCACCTCCTTCCACACCCCTCACCTGTGTAGCCTCACCTCCTTCCACTGTCCCCTTCACCCACTCCACTCTAGCCAGGAGAGTCTCCTCGCGGTTCTGCACACGCACCATGCATGCTCTCACCTCAGGGCTTTGGCTCGCACTCTTTCCTCCGCCTTCTTTAGGTCATTGCTCAAGTGGGACTTGCCCTGGCTAATGTTTCAAAGTTACAATCTTTTTTTTTTCTTTCAAAGTTGCAATCATTCCCCACTGTTTACTCCTGGTCCACATCTACTTGCTTAATTTCCCCCCCCACAATAGCACAGAACTATTGTGTGTTTTTTCCCCCTCTGATTTATTATGTTCCTCCCATTAAAATGCCAGCTACACAAAGGCAGGGATTTCTGTCTTCCCAGCCACCATTGAACATGCTGTAGGTGCTCGATAAAGAGCTATTGTGTGAAAGGGTCTACTTTGAGAACTCCCAGCTCTACAGTGACTTAGTGACTCACAATTATTTAGCCAATAAGACATGGGCAGGTTCCAGCTTGTGACAACTTCCACCATGGACCGGGGCAGCTCCACATTCAGTGGCTTAGACACTGTTAGGTCCCTGTGGATGCACGAGACATACAAACCCATTTGGGATGTCAACCAACCTCTCTTCCACTCTTTTTTTTCCTCCCCTGGGAGAGCACCTCACCCTCCTCCCACAGCTCTAGACAGCACCCCTTGCCCTCCCCACACCATTTCAGGTGGTCCTTCTCCTCGGTGAAGCCAGCCCCCGCCAGCGTGGCCGTGGCTTCGGACAGAAAGCCCACAAAATAGTTGCTGAAGTGGAAGGAGACAGCACTCTCGTAGGCGCGCAGCCACCTGGGGAGATGGGAGCAGGGAGAGCGGCATTGTGCCCAGATCTTGGCATGATACCCCCACCACCTGTTGGCATCCTTGTCCCGATTGGGTGGACTCACCTTACCATGGTGCCCCTAGTGTCCCCAGGGGTCAGGAGAGCAGCAGAGAAGAAAGGAAAGAGAGTCAGAGAGGCCCAGGAAGTTGGCCTGAGTCGTTCATAGATAAGATCGATAGAAACAGTGGTAAAAGAGGTGGACGGACAGCCAGCCATACATACACCGCCAGACGGTTTCATGCGGATGTGACAGGAGCTGTCTTAGCATATGACATGGTTTTGTAGCCTCACAGGGACAGACATCCAGACTCAGCCATTATCAGAAACTTAACCTCACAGCCCCAGACAAGCGCTATCACACTCCCAGCCTCACAATTCACTACCTGATTCAGTAACTGTAAGGCAGCCTCCAAATTCCCACCCTCCACCCTGTCCACATGCACAAACACAGCCACCCTGGTAGTTGCACAAGTAGACATTGTCCAAAAAAAACCAACTATGGGTCCTGGAACTAGGCCTTGTTTGAATGCTTGGCTGCTTAGTTGGGTGACATTGGGTAAGTCACTCAACCTTTCAAAGCCCCATTTGGCAACAGAGATAACCATCAGCCAGGGTATGGGGATGGATGGGGACGATGTTACATAATCAGACAGCTGGCTCTGATTTTTGACTTACAGTCAGTCCCACAGATGGACACCAGCACACAGTCACTTCGGACCTCTCAGCTAGCCAACACCAAGCTGCCAGCAGCACACAGGCAGAATCGGTCACAGAAAAGCACACAAGCCATCACAGTCAGCTGTGAAGACAGGTGACAATGACAGGATCCAATGACAGCCACACATTCCATCATTGACAATGGCACAACAGACAGCCATAGCTCACAGGCCCACCAACACATAAGCCTAAGCGAGAGTCACAGAAAGGTTCCTTCCTATTACAGTCACATAACTAGTTTCTAATGGGGAAATAGCTGAAGAGATGGACAACCAGATACACCAGAAGTCTCAGCGTGCTAGTTGTGCATTGATTCATAGCGCCAACCTTGGTCAAACAGATAGCCACAGACAGCCACTCACTCCGGCGTCTAGTCTTGGTAGGGGTGGGGGTGGGGTGGCAGTCAGACTCAGACTTAACAAAACCAATCAGCCCCAGACTGTGCCTCCCACTCCCCAGTTAGTCCCACTTGCCCTCAGTACCTGCCCTCATTTACCTGGCTTTGCGTTTCTTGCTGTAGTAACAGAAGACAGACAGAAGTATTAAGAGATAGGCTCAGGGTTGGGGAAACCCCCAGGCCCCTACCCAACCCCATTAATACAGGACAGAGGCCTCAAAAGCTGTGCTCACTTGCGAAGGAGACGGTCCCCGTCAAGGGGTATGAAGTACGGGAAGAGGTAGGGGCCCACACAGGTGGACAGCACAAGGCACAGCAGGGCCAGCACCAGGCTCCGGGCCACCTTCTGCAGCCATCGGCAGCTCTGTGGAGATTAAGACTCCATCAGCACCATCGTGTGGCCATTCCCACAGTCCCTGCCCACCTGTCCACCCAGGACCTCACCAATGGGCGGCCTTGGACAGCCTGTAGGTAGCTGTGGAAGGATATCCAGGGCCCAAAGACGATGGTGCCCACGAAGTAGAGGTAGCCCATGAACTCCACTGGTGAGGGCACTGCACCCACCTCGCCCCGGTCCAGGTCGAAGCCCAGAGACACCGCCTTCATGGCCACGATCATCTGAGCCCCTATGTGTGGCGCCCATGGTCAAGTGGAGGGTCAGAGAGCATGGCAGCGTGAGGGGGATGGGAGCATCAGGTGAGTGGGAAAGAGAGGTACAAGGACAGAGAGATGGGCATGGAGTCAGATAGGTAGGTGGGCAAGGGGGCCCAAGCTAGACAAGTATATGGGATGGGACAGATTTTTTTGTGGGGGGGCGGGGGAAGACCGCATGATGGAAAGAGACAGACACAGGGGAATTGGAGGCCTGTGTGTAAAGTGGGGTGGGCAGATCCAGGGAAAAAAGTAGGGAGAAGGAAAAATGGGGGGGGGGCGCGGGGATAAGAGATGTAGGCGGGGTGCCGAAAGGCTAGCTGGTGAGGGGGGCAGGGCTGCCTACCTCGCATCTTGTGCCATGTCACGGTGTCCACCATGTGCATCTCACTAGGGGAAAAAGGTGCTGGTCTTCACCCTATGACCCCCAGGGCCTCAGAGACCACAGAGGCGTCGAAACGGTGATGCCTTCCCTTGTCCACTGAGGAACAATTCTGAACTCCCTCCTCTGGGAGAGCCCAAGCCCTCTTTATTCCATATAGTCTTGTGAAAGGGCAAGGCTCCCAGATTTCTTCCCTAAGGAGATCTCCCTGTCCCGTGTAACCTCCTGTGACAACAATTTCTCCACATTCTTTCCTCCAGGGACATTTAACACCTTCTCTGTATTACATGTTAGGCAGCTAACTGCAAGGTCACCGGTTCAAACCCACCAGCCATTGTGAGCGCAAACAAGGAAGCCATCTGCGCTGGTGGATTGACAGGCTGGGGAACCATACAGAACAGTTCTCCTCTGTCTTACAGGGTGGCTGGGAATCAGAATCAGCTCTGGGGCCGGGCTGGTTTTCTGTTCAGTGTCTTCTCAGAGGAGAATTCTTCTCCCAGGTGCCTCTGGGGAATTCCACACCCTCCCAATCCAGGACAACCTGCCAAGGAGGAGCCCTAGGGGCCTATCTGCCCTTTGCCTAAGGGTGTAGGGATGAGGACTCACACCCATACCCCATAAGTAAGTAGATGAGGATGGTGACTGAGAGGAAGACTCCCCGATGGGAGGAATGTCGGCAGAGGAATAGCACAAGGTAGCACAGGAGGCTGAGTAGCACGACCCAAACCATATGCAGTTGGAAGAAGTGGTAGAGGCTGAAGAATCCTCCTGCTACGGTGCTTGCATGCTTCAGGTAGGATGGCAACCCTTTGGGTAAAAGAGAACGAGAAAGAGAAGATGGATGGGCTTGGGAGGAGGGGAAGGGCAACCCGGGCAGAAGCCACAGCCTGGGCAAAGGCCCAGAGGTTGCACGGTGGTGGGACAGAAGAGGCTCAAAGCAGGTGTTGGGCAGCTGGAGTCAGTGGCAGGGCTTGCGTTCAAAGGAAAAGAATATCTACAAAGGGCATTTGGGGCACCCTGGAGGAAATTCGATGATCAGTTATGCAGAGGCTGTGATTGTGGAGAATCTTGGGGGGCTACAAATGGAAGAGTTTTGTGTGTGTGTGTGTGTGTGTGTGTGTGCGCGAAGTATCATAATGTCAACAAGTTATTCAAGTGATTCAGAGAGATTAACGAACTAGTTGGCTACACAGACAGAACTAATGTGGCAAGATGCTGACTGCTGAGATATATATGGGTGCTCATTGTACTGTGCTTGCAACTTATTGTATTTCAAGACAGTAACACTGGGGGGAAAGAAAACATCCATCTATAAAAGAAAGAGAAAAGAAAAATCTTGTAGACCCATTAGATCTCAGATTTCCAGAAATATCTGCATCCTCTAAGCCTTGGAGTCTAAGGGTCTTGGAACCTTCTCATTTTAGGATCCCCAAAGCCTTGGATACAGACCTGCTGTGACTGTAGAAAAACTCCAGAATCCTAAAATCAAGAAATCTCTTCATGGTTCTACAAGTCCTGAACCCAGGACTATTGACATGCATGGCTTGACATCACAGGACCTGCCTTGGCATGGTATAGCACGTGATGGCTGGGGCACAGCAGGAATGTGGTGGAATGAGGCGAGGTAGGCCTGGTAGGGTGTGGTGGGGCTGGACTTGGTGGGGATTGGTTTGGCAGGGCAGGGCAAGGTGTGGCTTGTGGCAGGAATGATATGGTGTGGTGTGGCAGGCACTTACCAAGCCTCCACAGGAGGCGGCAGGTGAGGCAGATGGCAAGGAGCAGCCAGATCTGATCTAAGCCCTGCTGGGCAGTAGGCAGGAGACAACCCTGCAGCAGTTGCTGGAAAAATTCCTGGCGGCTGAAGGTGGCCATTGTGGACCCCCAGGGTTGGGTGGACAGACCTGCCGAAGAGGGGGTAGAAAGGGAGCTGAGATATCTATAGGGCAGACCAGGCTCAAGGGATGATCTTGAGCACTCAAATTTCCATCTGCGGCTGCCCGACCCATGTAGAGACAGGTACTGGGGGATTGGAGAATGAGAGCCTCAGATACCTCAGATCGAGGGTAGACCAACTGTGTGTGTGCGCGCGCGCGCGCCCACATCCCCCCACCCCCGCGCGCGCACACACACAGACAGATGTTCTGGGCGCGCGCGCACACACACACAGCCTGTGACCTGTAGGGAATGAAGGACCTCTCTCTTGATGCTGTGAACCGCCGGGATCCTGTGGTGATTGAATGGTGTATACATTCCTAGGCCTGTATATCAAATGGGGAGGTGGAGGGGTGAGCGTCCTGATTTCCAAGGTAGAACCAGCTTGAATCGCTCTGTGTGGAGGGCAGGGAGAGGGATCTTGTGATATTTGGGGGCCGTGTGCATCCCTCCTTGTATGGATGGGGGTATCCTGTATCCCCTTATGCCCCATCTCACCCCCACTGGGCCGCTCGCGGCCACCAACAAAGCTCTGTCCAGGTCCGGGGTCTGCGGGGAGGTAAAGGTGTCAAGGGGACAAGGTCGATCAGGGAGTCCAAAAGGTGATGGGGAGGGGGCATCAGGCGCTACTGATCAGTGCAGGGAAGGCAGGTTAGGGATGGGAGCGGGGAACCACGCGCGCACTCTTGGCGACCTACCTGGCGGGAAGGGACCCGTGGTCGGGGGGCCGGGACCGCACCACCGCCGCTGCGGCTGCCGCCTCCTCCGGGCAGCCTCCCCCGCAGGCCCAAAGGCCGGGACCAGCTGCGGCTCCCAGAGCGGCGCGGAGAGCGGGCCCTTTAAAAGCCGGGAAGGCCCGGCCCGCGGCTCAGCCAATGACAGGGCAGGATCAGGGCGGGGACGGGAGGTGGGGGAGCGAGAGAATTGAGGGAAGGAGGAGCGGGAGGGTTGAGTGAAGCGAGACGCGGGCGGACGTAGGCGCGCAGAATGTTCGCGCCCTCACCTTTCCGGCTTGTTAGCGCTTGATTGAGCCCCCGAACTTTTGTGTTGGGTGAGTCTTTGGCACGCCAAGAACAAATTTGGGACTCGCCAGATTTCTGATCCTTGGAAGCCAAGCTGGGAAAGAAAGATGGGGATGGAGAGAAGAGGAAAGCGCCCCCCCACGCCGTCCCCCGTCCCCCAACTCTCCAACTACTCGCACACGTTTTCTCAACACTTCGGGGGTGCCCCATTTCACGAATGAGAAAATAAGCTGAGGTCTCACCTTCCCCATCCTTTGAGAAAACCAGAGAACCTTCCAATTCTTCCCTATCTCCAAGCGCCCTCTAAGCCTAATGCCCCGGGGGCAGAAACACTTTAATGACCGTGTCACCTAGGAGCATGAATTAGGTGCTTCTGTTCCCCCACCCCCCACCCCCAGGGGCTTCCTGGGAGTGCTTTGTAAGTCATTCATAACTGATTTGCTGTCTTAATTACCCCCAGGACGTGTTCGGACCTATGTTTTCTTTCAAAGCAACTAGCCTGGGAACCTGAGGGCGTCTACTGCAGAGGACAGATCCCGAACATTTATAAAGCACTTACAGTAACCTCAACTCAGACTTGGACTTGGCTCGGATTTATGCAGTGTCTGGGCAGTCCCCACCTCCCTGTGTTGATGAAGGGTATAGAAAGGGGTTTCCAAAAATTTGTGGAAACGTAGAATTAAAAGGTAATAGAAAACTGGGGTGGGGGGATAATAAAAACTGATCTGTAATTCATAATAAGAAGTAAAAAAAAAAAAGAATAGAGTTTTCTCATGAACTTTAAAAAAGTATAAATATATACTTTTTCCCTCCCCAAACTGCTTCCTCAGGAGACAGGATGTAGTAGGTTGTGAACCACAAGGTCAACAGTGGGAACCACCAGCTTCTTGGGAGGAAAGATGAGGCTTACGGCTCCCATAAGGATTTCTAGCCTCAGAATCCCAAAGGGGCAGTTCTACTCTCTCCTATCTATAGATTCTGTGAGTTAGAGTTAACTTGATGGCAATGAATATATATGTATATCATATATATATGTATATATATATATATAATCACTGCCATCAAGTCGATACCAATTCATAGTGACTCTACAAGATGGGGTAGAACCGCCTGGGGGGGGGGTTCCAAGCTGCTGTCATTCTTTCTCCCACAACATGGCGATTTTTTTCCTTGAAATATTATCCATTTAGGTCTCCTCTTACTTCTGAAGGCAGTGTTTCCATCTCTTTAATCATTCCCTGAAGAATTCTGTGCTCTTCAATTTATACCATGCCAAAAGGGCCGTTGTAGCCAGTTTGAGGGACTCAAATTGTGTTCCTTTTCAATGTTCTTTGAGTTTGGGGACCGAAAGGAAGTCTGGAGGGGCAACATCAGGGCTGTCAGATGGATGGGGAAAGGTACCTCAAGGAAATTGTCCTAGGACCGTTCTGCTGCTGTCTACCCTCGAAGAATGAACGAGCAGGTACATTGTGGCAATAGCAAAATCCCTCCGGGCAACTTTCTTTAGCCCACCAATGCACGTTTAAATATTCTTTTTCAAACGAGTTGCTTTAATTCCAGGTGGTACCGATTTCTGGGCATAGCAAATACTGCACAACAGCTCTGGTAGGATTCCAGACTGGATTCCCTCCGACCTCACAGCTAAGATAGGAATGGCTGAGTCTGAAGGGAAGTACTAAAGAGATGGGCAATTGTACAATTTGTTTTCTTCTTTTCTCCAAAAGTGTATTCTTGAACGCACAGCAGGCTTCAGCACAACACTTCATCCTAACTATAGGTGGCAACAGACAAAAAAGCAGGGACTCCAGATGTTGACACAGGAACGGAATCAAGGGTCATCATGGCCTCAGTCCCCAAGAACAACGGACTTTGGGCGGGATTGCTTCAGTCCCCCTGTGCCTTCGCCGTCAGCTTCTTTGGGTCTTCTTTCTGTTTCTGCTTGAAGCCGTATCTTCCTCCTCTATTTTATTGGTCTGCTTCTTGGGTTGTTTCAGGGGTTCTTCTTGCCACCTTCGTGGCCTAATATGGCACCTCAGTTTTTAGTCTTCTTAAAACTACTTCATAATAAGTACCTGTGATTGTCCTGTGTGCTTTGAGAAAATCCATATAAAAAAAAATCCTGCCCCCCTACTCTGCTTTAAACCGACCTGGCCCAACCGATCCCCTCAGAAGCCACCGTTTTGATTGGACCTATTTTTTGCAGGCACCCTAATGATACAAGTGTGTCAGTGAGAGAACTTGTCTGCAGCCACCCACTGATCGCAGAGGTGTGTTTGAACATGCGTTGTTTGAAAGAAACGTGTGTATGTATGGACTGGCACTTGAGTAGTAATGCGTTTTTTACTTTTGATGCTTTTGTGTGTGCGCGCGCACATGCCCACGCATGTGTATTTCAAAAAAGGACCCATTTTCTCAAAGGAGGATTTATTGGGTACCTATTAGATGCACCCATGATTGTGAAGACGGCATAGGACTTTGCAACATCTCCTTCTGATATACATCGTCCTAGCCAACAGGAAAGCAACGAATAACTAATCCTTAGCTATGAAAGAGAATGGGCAAACCGGGTCAGGCTGGACCTCACTCTGACCTGAGAAGATAAGAGAAGCAGATTCTAATCATATTCATGCTCACCTATGTGGAACTCTCCAAGGCACATCCACTGACGCCAGAGGGCTTTGGGGCACCTTATTAAATCAGAGAGAATCAGTAGCAGTTCTTTGTGTGGAAACACCAATGACAAGCGAAGAGGGATGTATAAATCTCTGCTTTAAAAAAAATTAGCGTGAAGTTACATGGAGTTTTAACTCATAAATTACTACTCATGGATGCTACTTGAAAAAGATTTCACAGATTATATATAATGAATAATTGCATCGGCCAGATGCATGAATGCCAATTCCTTTTCTTTACAGCAGAATACCGGCCACACATATTTTATGAATTCAAGTTCATTATAATTTTCCCTCAGTTTACAAATAGTCAACAATGACTCTCTCTCTCTCTCTCTCTCTCTCTCTCTCTCTCTCTCTCTCT